GCAGAAGTAAGCAGCATGAGAACTTAATTTGTTGAATTGCTCATATAATTGAGGGAGGCCTTCGCTGCTGTAGGTTGACTACCAACTCTTCTGTTTGCAGACAAGGATGTTTGCAGTTCAGTCAGCCATGGCTGTGAACAAGTTTGTGTGAATACTGAAGATTCGTACATATGCAAGTGTCATGAAAAATTCATACTGAAGGAAGATGGAAAGACATGTAGATGTGAGTAGCCTGAGCTATGTAAAAGTACGATTTTATCTGAGGTTTGTAAGTGTTGTGACTCTGAGTGTTTGCACATGTGTATGTTTGTGTTTTCCACCTATTTCAGTTGGCTAATAAAAGATATTATCTCTCCCTTACAAACCTCGCCTCACAAACTCCGTACACTCTTCTCAGCTAAAGATGTTTGCAACTTGGTTGACCATGGCTGTGAACATATTTGTGTTAATACTGATGATTCCTATATCTGCAAATGTCATGACGACTTCATACTGAGGGAAGATGGGAAAACTTGTAGGAGTAAGTTGTTTAAACTTTGTTCTGTACTTCCTGATCTGTTTAATGAAACTCATGAAGCAATGCTACTGTGTTATTTGTGTCATTAATAGAATCAACTTCATGGCAGATTGTTACCGTAATTTTTACATTTTGTGAAAGTTATTTACCTAGCTAACTGTGCTAAACATAATTTTCATTATCCCAAGGTAAGAATATCTGCAAAACAGTTGACCATGGTTGTGAACATCTCTGTGTTACAAGTGGTGATTCATACACGTGTCAGTGTCACAAGGGATTTATGTTGAGACGAGACAAGAAAACGTGCAGGAGTGAGTAGCTGAAACTTGCATGAGGAATATGCTTTTTTGGTCATAAAAGAAGTAACAGACTTAATTTCACTCCAATCTTGGTCATGCCAGTTTTGCATTTGAGAAGTGGTCTAATAAGGAAATTCTCTTACCAATTCTCAGATAAAGACCTGTGTAAATCTATTGACCATGGCTGTGAACATGTGTGCATCAATAATAACAATTCATACAGCTGTCAGTGCCACGATGGTTTTGTCCTGCGACAAGATGGGAAAACGTGTCGAAGTAAGTAACTCAGTATGTCTGTCAGCTGCTCTTCTCTGGCATTGCTACATGAATGAACACAGATATTATACTCCTTTGGCATACATTCTTCAAAGATCATGTTTGGAGTCTTTGAATTTATAAGTATGTTAAAAATAATACATATAAATATTGCAATTTTTTCTAGATAAAGATGTTTGCAAATCAGTTGCCCATGGTTGCGAACATATTTGTATTAATAATGACGATTCATACATCTGCAAATGTCAGGAGGGATACGTACTGAAAGAGGATCAGAAAACATGCAGAAGTAAGTACGTTTTATTTAGAAAGCATTTGTTTCTTTGATTTCTAAAATTACTTGACCTCACTCCAAATGCCTCACTTCAAAAGTGATACAATATTTGAAAGCCCAGGGCATATGTGAGTGTGATGGAAAATGTCTTGAACAATTAACTTCTTGCTCTCAAAAGCAAAAAAACTAACAAATTTGAACAGTTGTTTTGGTATGGCATCAAGTACAGTAACAATTCTTTCCAAACATCAGGCAAAAAGCCAAAGTGAAATCTTATTATGAAGGAATGTGCATATTAATCAGATTAATACACTGTGGAGCTTTTATCTTTATATACTCCATTTTATAATATCATTAATTCTATTAATTTGCTTATCTTCTATCATGACATGTTTAGAGTATGACATGGATTTATCTCATCACCCCTTAATACTTGGAGGAGAAATTATTCTACTGGAACTTAGTAAAAATATTTATTCTGAAAAAATGGATGTCTTAGTTGTGGAGACTTTTACTACCAAAGGAATGGTAACATGTTCATGCCTGATCTCAACCCTAACTAATTCACCGTGAGCTGCTGCCCTAACTTGACTTAGGCAATGATCTTGAGGTGGTTCTGAGATTCATATTCATTGCATTTCCACCACCTTAGTACATGTAACACATCTTTTCCTTGGATGACTGCAGAAAGGAATTCTTGAACAGCAGTTTTAAAATAGAGCTCTTGTCTAAGAAGAAAAGCCCAAGCTTTAAAGCTGAAAATTCCTTATTCCTACACTGACTTGGTAATATGACATCTTCAGTAATTTCTGCAGCACAACTCTCTTGTATAGGTCTTGCAGCAGTCTTACTACACAATCAGTGGAAGCCAAAGTTCATTTGGTCCAGACTAAGATGCAAATCTTACCTTCCTTAGTATAACTAATTCTCCCTGGAAATATGAGAACTCCAAATTTGTCAGTCTTCTGACAAGCTCCCAGCTTTAATTGATAAACCAGAAAAGGTAAGTTTCAGCATTACATAAGCCTTATATTTACAAGATTGTTAGAGAGTTACAAGCAAAAAAAAAATTATATAAACCATTCTGCTCCATGATTACCAGCTAGGTGCATTTCTAGCATTTACTCTCTCACCTATATATTATCTGGTTTTCTGCCACTACATGTTTAAGTTTGTGCTACAAAAACATGTTCATTGTCTGAATTTTGTCCCCAGACTTGAACCTTGCCCTCAGCTCTAGGGCAGGCTACCTCACCCTCCTCTTCTCACTCAGAATTCCCTGAGCATTTTGGCTCTTGCCTCACTGTTCCCTGCCACTCTAAATACGACTCCTAGTTTTTCACCTTATATACAAATTTAGCTTCACTGACTCATTGCTTTGTACAACGTGCAACACAAATGCAGCTCCAGTGATTCTCTTCCATGTTTTTCAGTACTGGTCATCTACACAAATCTAAAGTTAGCAGACTGGCCTATCCCTGGAAGAAAATGGTGGCAACTCTATATCCTAGCTATGCTCTTCAGTTATACAGTTCTCTCCACTTATCAGTCATTCTTAAAATTTGTTGATTGTTGCATTATCTTTAAGAGTTGTAGTATTCTCCAAAGCAGTATGTCTCAGTAAGTATTCACTGTGATTATATTTTTGCTAAACTCTTGGTCACAGGCACAATTTTAGCTTTTGATGTAGACTGTACACAACATTTTTAGACACACTGGTGAAGTTTGGATGAGCCAGGAACAAGGCACTCTAGATGATCTCTGTATTTATGCAGTCCCTAGGTATCCATGTTCCTTTTACAGTTTTGTGGCATTTTTTTGTGATCTGAACACTCTGCTGCTTCTTTCACAGCATGCACTGAAGGCCCAGTTGACTTGGTGTTTGTGATTGATGGATCAAAAAGTCTCGGAGAGGATAATTTTGAAATTGTAAAAGAATTTGTCTTGGGAATCTTGGATGCACTTGAGATTTCACCCAAAGCTGCTCGAGTTGGTTTGCTTCAGTACTCCACCGAAGTTCGCACAGAGTTTACGTTAAGGCAGTTCAGCTCAGCCAAAGACATGAAGAAAGCTGTATCACAAATGAAATACATGGGGCGAGGTTCCATGACAGGACTGGCTCTGAAGCAAATGTTTGAGAGAAGCTTCACAGAAACAGAAGGAGCAAGACCATTTTCAGCAAATGTCCCTCGAATCTCCATTGTGTTTACAGATGGACGAGCCCAAGATGAAGTCTCTGAGTGGGCTGCTAGAGCAAAGCGAAACGGTAAGTGGAGGTGCTTTTGACTCCTTCTAGAAGGCAGATATTGTTAGAAATAAGATGTGGTAATAGTATGGATGTGCTACAGTGTGCTAGAAAGAAAGAAAGAATTTTCCATAGCAGTCTGACTAGTACAGAGACCACAGTAACAGAATATGGATCTTTGTTGTTCACAGGAGCTTCTGCTACAAGATGTGTTAAGTCATCCCTAGTGTGGGATCCATAATGAGTGTTTCAGCACTGGGGTTCCATGCCATGCACAGGTAGCGGTACTACCCAGCTGGCACACCAGGCATGCCCTGAACATAGCCTCTAAGGGTAAACATTTGATACAGAGATGTGAGAACACTGGGAACTTCATTAAAAATTAAAAAAAAAAAAAAAAAAAAAGTGTCTCCTCAAAATGCAGAAATCTGTCTTCCTAAGAAATATTATGGTAATAATTGGTTATATTTTTATTTACATATATTCTGTATTTTTAACCAATCTCATAGTGCTGAAGGGTCTTCCTTACAAAAGGATATAGCTGTAGTGCTGTCTATGTACTTTATCAGGTGATATGCTGCAATGTAACTGAAACCTGGTGATTTTTAATGAAGAATATATCTGGGCAGCATTCCATCCTCTAAGACTTCTGTACTACAAAGCAGAAACTACTTTTCAGCTCTTTAGCAGTCACCTGAAAATTTTAAAAGATTTTCCAGAAAATAGAAGATATCTTTTTCTTCACAAAACGTTTTATGTTTTTATGAGAAACTGTTTTAAGAAGCATGGCTGATGGCCCACAACACACAGAAAATTGCCAGGTTTTAGAAGATACTGCACATCTTTTTTCTGTTCTTGATTTATTGGCTTGATCTATCAATCAGAACTTGATACAAGATTAGTATAGCATTGGTTTAGGACTGATACCCCTCGGTAAGAAGGAAAGGGGAAAAACGTCCAGTGATATGAGAAGAGCATGTGCTAACGAGGGTGCCATTATAATGAAATGTAAACAAAGTGATTTAAATATATTAAAAACAAACCCAAAAATTTATTTGCTAATTACCGATGTCTGGGAAAGTTCGTGGAGGATTTTTCAGACTGAAGAAGGAAAGAAGCCTAATACAACCCAACCTTGCTCACTGGCTGAATAAAGCATCAACTCCACACTGCTTTCACTGATCTTTATAATGCTACAAGCCAAATCCATCCCCTGTGTAATTGCAGCATAGACAATGTAGTAATGCTGAATGTGAAATTGGCCTTGAATACTTTATCACTGATATCTCCAAGTCTTTAAAAAGCAACAGACCTCAGCATGACTGGTCCATTCATCAAACTGAATCAGCTTCTGGTGAATGTTTTACTTTCCTGGCTGAAGTGAGGTGGTAGGCAGATTCACGACGAAAAGTAAGGAGATGCTTATGTTAAAGAGCTGGAAAACATGTATTGTATGGTGTTATCAGGCCCAGGATTCTTCATCAAAAGTCTAAAGCTGTAATTCAGTGAGTGTGTAGCTGTTATTACGCCATGATAATAAAGAGATACCAAGCTTCCTCATCCTAAATTTTAGGAGCTGAGAAAGCGGCTTCTGCTCTTTAATCTTTTAGAACAGCTTGAACTACTACGAAGCGAATAGTTGTGTTATGAATCACAAACTCAGTACTAGTTGTGGACGCTTTCTAAGCCAGAACTGATATAAAGAAAAATGTTGTATCACATCCTATGTTCACGAGAATAAACAATGTAACTGCTGCAAAGGGGGACATGGAAGCTTGCTGTATTTTGTATTCATTGCTCGTGTAAAATCTGTCCGGTGTGAGGACTGTGAGCCACTTCCTCCTTCCAAGCTTTCAGAGTGAAGAAAACTGCACACCCTCATTTACATTCTCCCTAGCACCTCTGCTAGGGAAATGCTTCTCCTGAGGATCCCTGTTGTAAGGTTCTTTCTCTCCTAACCCCACAAATTGTTTCTTTCTCCCTGTTCCCACCCTCGTAGGTCTGGGTGGCTTTGCAGTGTCTCCCAGCCCACTAGTTTCACTTAAGAGTGCAAGAACCCAGTCTCAATGTGCTCTGAGGATTTTAATGAAACACTAAATATTTATATTTTTCTAAAAAAAAAAAGAAAAAAAAAACAAAACACCAAAACTGCTGTCTTTCAGGATCCTGCTCCATTTGCTAATATGTAACAGGTTTTCCCATCAGCTCAGTAATGAGCTTTATTGCAGGCACCCTACATACACAGACACACACAAACCAGGACCTTTCAGTGCTGAGGCTGACTGGAGTGCTTCTCTTGGCGGTTCCGCAGTGCTCTTTCTGGGATCATTTACTGTCAGTAGTGGCCGGGCAACTGTCATCTCTTTAACTTAAAAACTGTTAAACAACAGCAAAGCAGTGAGTTTCTACAACCTCTCAATAACTAAGGCATATTAAGCCTGTTCAAAACCAGTTCTGAAGTCACACAGCATAGACATTTCTTGCACTCTCCAAAATGATGAATAGTCATATTTTCCTTCCATGGAGGAACAATGATTTAGAACTGCTGATGTAATAATAAAGTGCAATTTCTTTTCAATCTAGGTATAATTATCTATGCTATTGGAATAGGAAAAGCAATTGAGGAAGAACTGCTGGAAATTGCTTCTGAGCCATCATATAAACATCTCTTCTATGCCGAGGATTTCACCGCTATGGAGGACATAAGTGAAGAACTAAGAGCCCAGATCTGTGAAGGTAAAACTATCTCATTTTTATTGAGACAGAAGAGGAATGAATGCTTACAGATTTTTTTGCAGGCCTAGAAGAACAACTAGTGTCACAGCACAGGTCATAGATAGTCAGTGTCAGATACTGCAAGGCCTAAGTCAGGCACAATAGTAATTCTGCCCTTTAATATGTGAGAAATATATGAGGAATGTATACCCTTCATCTATCACCAGGTAAAGGTATATAGGAGTTGTCTTTCCTTTATTTTCATAAAGGTTGCATGAGATGTACACTTCTGTGCCCAGAAGAATCAATTGCTTCCTCCCCTTTTCTTTTTCTTCAGACAAGTCAGCCGTGCGCTGAACCCCACCCTGCCAAAGAAGCATGTTCTATTTCATTAGCAATGTGGGAAAATAATCAGGGAGTTGTAATGTCTTAATGAGAATAGAAAATTACTCTTAAGCCCAGTGGTAAAAACCTAAATCACAGCAGAACAAAGCATCAAGACCTGTTGCACGTATTTATAGCAGACCAATATTTCACAGAACGTCCATTCACAGCTACAAAGAATGGATCTCAGTTATGCACAAGGTCCAAGTTTTCCTCAACAAATGTGGAAGTTTTGTTCCAGAAAGCATCCTTCTTCACTCTGGCACAAACAGCCTCTTACAGAAACGTTCCCAGCTGAAGTTTTGCAAGGGGAAGGGGGAGTGTGAGCTGAGATGAAAGCTGTTCAGCCAGAGAGGACAGCCTGTCTCTCTCCCACTCACGCATTCCCAGGACTCAGTATCATTTGTACATGCAAATTGGTACCTGAAGCAAAATTCAGAAACATCACTGTGAATAGTATTAGTCATAGCAGTAGAATTGTGCATGACTGTTTAATTTTCACTAGCTTTTGTTGTTTTTCCTTGGAATTAAATGTAAAGAGGTTTTATTTTCATCTTTAACATTAAGCGTGCAAACCTGGCTGGCAAGCACCAGTGCATTTCTCCCTCATACAGATGTCAAGGAAGAATATGGGAAAAAAAGTCCTAGCGTGTTTCCAATTTGTATATTCTTTGTGGTTTTCTCAGTCTTAAGTCTTAGTTCCATCTTTCTGAAATGCAAAATAGTATGATAACATGAAACCAAGTCTGTTCAGTTAACCTTCTTACTAGACAGAAAATCTGCTGCTGACAGCGTGTCATCTTAAAAGCTTGGGGAGATGCCAAAGCCAAAACTATCTGGCAATGGGTATAATAATTCTTACTCATTAGCAAACCCAAGAGCTCGGTGGTGGAAATGCATCCTCTAGATACCCACAGCGGTGTTTAGCAACCACAATTTCTTTTTTTTTTTTTTTAAAGGCTGTTACTTACCATATGAAAAAATAAGTAAATCCTGCCTCTTTGTGGCAGTTTCTAGACTACACCTCTAGTAACTGGGCAGAACTGGTACCTCTCAGCCTCTGTCCTCTCTCACCACAGGCAATGCCTCACATCTGTGAACCGGGGACTGAGCCAGCCTTGCTCTTCTGGACACTCCAGGGCTACCTACTGCTTATCCAATCACTCCACCAGAAGTTCTGCCTCCAAGACTGTTACACAAGCTGAAAGTTGTTTTTTTTTTTCCTCCTCTGTTTTGATTTACAGCCTAAACTTTTTTCCCTTCATGTTTCCAAGTAAAGCAGAAGCCCTCCAAATCTCTTTTGGGGGTAAGGCTTTCTCTCTTTATTCTGCCAGAAAGCACCAGCCTTGTAGAATAGCTCTTGATGACTATTAATTATTCTTGATGTCTAGTGTTGAAAAAAAAAAAAAGTGATTATTCTCTTTTGCTTCTGAAGAGAATTCAGTCAGAAGGTTCTTGCTTGTTGCCTTGGTTTAATGTTCATTTCCCATCTGCCTGGAAGCACTAACGAGGCTGCAGCAGTGTCATACATGATAGGCACATGTCACAATTGCCTCTTCCCCGTTCTGAGCATGTGCATTACAGCAGCCTTTAATTACACGGTCACACACTATTTTTGTCCAGCCCTGATCAGATGACAGCGCTCTGCATCCTGCTGGTTAACATTCTGTTCTTCTTCCAAGCTGCAGATCGTTACTACTGCTGCAAATAGCTACTGCTTTTGAAGACACTTTTTTGAAGATTCTTTTTCACAGGCTTTTCCTAACAAAATAGTTGGGGTTTGTTATGAAACAGAACACTAAGAACAAACACCCACCTTTAGCATTGGTCCCCAACAAATTTGCATATTTATCTTCATTGCACTGACTCCACCAAGGGACTTGGGGTTAGCAGCCTCTGTTATTTCTCATCTGATTATTCACAGCTTTACAGAGGTGATGAGATCAGAAATGTTTGGGTCCCTGCCAGCTTCTGAAGCCTGAAGAGGAGTTATGGAAACACCCAATTTCCATCCTGAACTGGAGACCTTCTTTCACACCTGTGTATCCATCAGTCTTCTTTCCTGTCCCTTACATCTGAATCCTAATCACTTGTCTGTACCAGCCCAGTGGCCAGAGCTTGAACTTTACAAGTTAGTTCCTCTGCCCTTCAGAGACAGCTTCATTAGCCTGCAGCTCTTAACTTCTGGAGCAAGTCATTAATTGGGGTCAAGCACTCAAGGTTCATCTTACCCATTTCTTCCCTCCTACACTGGAAATCCCACCATCCTTGTTTCCAGTTGATCATTCTTCTGCTAGATTCCTCCTTAGCTTGTGATATCATCCCACACCTCTGTGCCCTGAACTCCTCTCTGAAATCTGTGTTCCTTCCACCAGTTGGTTCCCACACAGTTTTTGACTTATAGACTTGTAGTTCTACCCACTGAACTCTGGTCTTCTTACTCAACAATTTTTCTGTTCTTTTTCTGTTCCTCATGCTCAGTCATTCCAGCCCCCTCCCAGAGGGTTTCATCTCCTTCCCAGCTCAATCTAGCACAGATGCATATTACAAAATTCATGAGACCAGCAAAAATCCCTGTAGCTGTAACAAACCTGTGGGGCCCGAAGCATCTTCCACCTCCCTACTCCATCTTCATGGCAAATCATGGGAGCTTTTACCTTCACACGTTCACTGCCAGCAAAGGAACACTGAGTATATGTGCAGGGAGGGAGATCCACGTGCTCCACCCACTCCCCTGGCACAGCTGATCAAGTCGTGTCATTGTTAAATGTATGTTTTCCAGCTCAGCCGGGCCATTAAGTTAATTGAAGCATTTATTTTCTAGAAAAGAACCGCTTCTTAAGAGCCAAAACTGCCTCGGCATTACCCTCTTGTGGCAAGAAGAGGGTAGTGTGCACAGGGGCCTGAGGTGGCTACAGCTGCATATAAAATACGTTTCCATTTCCCTCTAGACCCCTTTCGACTAAAAAAAATATATATACAGAGTCTGAAATAAATTCCTACATTTTGAAGGCTGTTTCATGAATCAGAAACTTGTAGTTCTGCTTATAACTCTAGTGCATCAAATAAACTCTACTGCACGCTTCTCACCTCAACACTCCTACCACCCTGATCCATATTTCCCATTATAAAGGAGAAAATTGGAGGAGACTAAATGTCTTCCTTCTCCAAGCAGTTTTTACTCTTATTCAGTTCACTCCAAAGGACTGATGGATGATAATGAAACATGCATGAATTTTCACTAAAGGACACAAAGAAGGTTGCTGTCATTTCAGATTGCTTCACTACTATGAAACTATTTGTAAAGCACTTCTGTTTTCATAGGAGTTCCTCTGATAGTCTAAGTCGATGGGTGAGTCCTGGAGTTTCCATCAACACTGGACCTCTTCTAAACTGCACAGGCATAGGGCATTCTCCATGTGTTATGAGAGACGGTGAAACACTGAGTTACTGATAAAAACCATCTCTAGTCCTAGGGAAAGTGAACATTTTTGTTGCTCTTTTTGCAATCTCATTTCCTTTGGTGCTTTCTTTCCACACCAGCCTTGACACAGTCAGCTCACCGGCAGGATCCTGCATCTGGGAGGCCTCCTAAGACTGGGCCACAGCCTTCAGGTTGGCTGTTTCACCTCAGTATCCTGCTGTCCCCTCAGATCATTGCTAAGTTGCCTCTTCATGCTGCCTTCTGTAGAGAACCCTAACAATCCACCCATGAGGGAATTGTTCATCTCATTCCCCTTCCTACCCCCTCCTTGCTGCAATTCAAATCTGCCTTGTACAAAAAGCTTGAGATTCATTGTAACAAACGCACGGCTGCATGCTTCTTACACCACCCAGATGAATTACTCCATGGGGAAACTCGCATTTTAACACTGTGCTTGGTATTTTAAAGCATGTTCAGCTTTCACTCACTTTGTTTCTCACACGAACCTTCACAACTCCTTTTCAGTTCTGCAACCCACAACTTAAATCATTTATACAGTAAATACAGCCTAACTGCTTGTTCCTTCACATCTTATATCCCCAGCCCTCACTGCTATCAGTGAGATTACTCACTAATTAAGGAGAATTCAATGCATGTGAATAGCAAAACAAATATAGTGAAGTGGGCTTGATTTTTAGACTTTTGGAACTTTCGGGGGGTTTCCTGCAGGACCTGAATCAACCACACTAGCCATCACAGATGTCATTGCCTGCCCCAATCTTGCAGTACACCACAAGTATCTTTTTGAAGACAGTCACACTCACTCAGCAGGATCTACAGGTAATCAGGTCACCTTTGTTTAGAATAATCCAGACTGCTCTTTGAGTATATAGGCCTAAGCGTTGTAGACTATTTCCCAGTATTTACAGAATGGGCCCCAGAGCATTCCTTTGGATGTTGGCCTGTTTTTAGAGCAGAAAACTGTATTAAACCTCCTCTGCAGTATAAGTCCTTGTCATTTCCTCCCCCCTCCCATTCAATTTATTCAGCATTTAGCCTATGCTTGACTGTTTCCTTTTCTTTCAGCAAAAGCTTCAAAAGATAAAGACCAGTGCAAATGTGAAAACCTTGTGACATTCCAGAACTATGCAACTAATGAAGTAAGAAAACTCACCCAGCGATATATCCTTTCAGAGTAACTGTTTCTTAAATATAAGGGGGGGGGGGGGGGGG